ACGTCCATGTTATGTTTCCTTGTTTTTGGCTTTCTTACCATGCCATCTTCCAGTGTATCAGCCGTTTTCTTTCCTCCAGAGTTTGACTGGTGCGATCAGTCCCATGGCACTCATTGTAAATGACATGAGACACACAACCACATTCATTGTGAAGGGAGTAGAGAACAATCATGACATGTGATGTCACCTCAAGAAGAAGTGTTTTAAGATTTTTGGATTATCATGTAACATTCATAAGCGTGATGAAGCGAACAAGACAGTCAGCCACCTTGATACAAACTGAAGGTCACTGTCAGTACTTGTCTCTTGTACTGGTGTGTCGCTTCACATATTCAGCCACACATCAACTAGAGTCGAGATGGAGACGCAAAATGAACACTGGCTAGCAGCATATCGGTAGCTTGGTCAACCTCTCTTCTGAGGTCGACTCTCCTCCTTTACTATCACGAACCCACGGATCGAAAAGCTGAAAAAGCAACACCACATTTCTTCCAGAATGATTCCCATGTGCCACATCCACAACAGCAGGTTTTTCATGGCCATTTTGCAAGACATTTTGAAATGATTCTTAAACTTACGTTTAGTCTTTATTTATTCTTTGATTATAAATTTGATTTTCAGACTTAAGCTAACTATTTCAATAATATATTAATATAATAAATTGATGCCCCATGTTTACTACATATATCAACATTATGAAAAAATGAGAGACCTTCGAATTTTCATTTATAAATGAAAGTTTACATAAATTTATTTTACATAAAAGAAACAAATTTAATATTGTAACATGTGAGTGTTACAATAAATAACAAAATATTATAACTAGATGGTAAGTAAAGTTCCTAGAAATGGACATTTATCTTTGGGTTTACAAGAACCAAAAATTTTTTTAAACTACTATAACTTTTCAATTTGTAAATAGTTTATAGTAAAACTCGGGTTGTGTGGGCCGAGAGATAAGAAAATTATTTTAAGTCTGATGTGAAGAGCTTATGGTCACTAGTTAAGTGTTTTTAATGCATGTTAGTGGCATTGGTTTATTATTTTAATTAGTTTAGTATGGTTAAGTTCTCTGGGGCAGCTTATGTAATTGAGTGGGAAATTTTTCTTTAACACTTTCTACTGATTGTGACAACTCTGATTTATGATTGAGTAAGATTCCAATTTTTAGGGGTGTTTGGTTTATTTGCTTCTATGTAATGTATTACCAGGGGATACTAAGTGGAGATAAAAGGTCAGGGCGATTTTAATATTTAAGTTTCTGGTTTTGATTTATCTTTAGAGCTTTGGATTATAAGCCCTAATTTTAATTAGAATTCTTTTAGGTTTGATGGGTTATGGTTTAAATTCCTATGTATTGGGTAATTTATACACCAAAACGAAAAATCTGCTAAAGCCAGGGTACAGGGACCCGCTTAAATTGTTTTATTCGATATAATCCGTTCCTGAAGCTCAATCGAATACCGATAATAATCGAAAACCCGAAATCAATTTTTCCTCCATAAGAAATAATGGAAATCAAATTAAACCGTGCAAAACACACCAATAAGTAATGAAAAAAAGAAAATTTTTACTACATGAAATATTAAGTTTTCAATAATGCAATAGAAATAAATTACAATAACAATAAAATAAATGACACTTACCTTAATGAAGATCTGGGATGATAGTATGGGATGGAGGACGGAGGAGGTGTTAGTGTTTTAGAAGGGGACTCCCCTTCCATGAAGAGACATGAGGTAGCTAGTCCTTTTCCGGAGTTTACTTCCCTTCATCTTTTTAATGACCACTAGGACCCCAGCTTGAGATCACTGGACCTCTGTCGAGCACAACAAATCAGACCAAAGAGCACTTGTACCCCCTCCCGTTCCCTTTACGATTTGTCTAAAATGGGCCACAATCACTGTCATAGTAATAGTCACCACACTGCTTTCAATAGCTGTGTTAGGGTGATTTTCATTCCATAAAAGGTTTTGCACTTCAACAACCCACTGTGCACACGATTTCCTTTAATTTTTGAAGTAGCCCAATGGAGGCCACAACTGACATAGGCTTCTCAGGTTAGCCCCAAACCCTCCAAAATTCTTTCTTAATTTCCATACTAATTCTCACCCTTTTTACAACATGGTTGGGCACTAGAGGAGCTTTCTTGGGGCCCATGGTGACTTATTTTGTCAGAAACAAGCACCAAACACAGTGATAATATGGATAATATGGAATGTGCCGAATGTATCCTTAGATGCACGCACACAGGCTGGCTTGTAAACACATATCACACAGGGCAGTTCTAGGCCACAACGTGACAGGTCTTCGTACGAATCGATTGAATCCCGTTTCAATCGAATACCGGGGAAATTTTTTTGCGATAAAATGCATCGAATACCGGATTTATCGAATACCGATGCCATCAAATACCGGGGGTCCACTGTATATTAACAGTTTTGTCAAATCGAGTTGGGGATGTTGGAATTTTGTCGAGTATTTCTTTACTTTTTAATGTTAAGGGGCTGAAATTTTATTTTTTATGAAAGATATTTGAGTAGAGATTTTCTGTTATTGAAAGTTTTTGTGTGTATCGCTGCTATAACTAAAAAAGCCCAAATTCCATTATGGTTTGGCTTCCAGCATCTATGCTGCCCCTACTTCCTTTTTTCGGCTTTAGTATCATTCTTCTACGCTAGTAACAGCTGGTGTTTATATTTTGATTCTGTTTTAGTGGGGGCTTTGTAGTGTTCGTGAGTGCGAATAGTTTTGTAAATTGTTTCCTTTGTCTAACTAAATTTATAGTGGCTTGGGCCAATTTTTTGCGTTGATTTAAGAAAATCATTGCTCAAATCAACTTTAAGGCAATTGTGGCGTTTATAATGAGTAATTTATCTTGGGGTTTGCTGACCTTGCTTTTTTCCACTTTTATGTGACTCATGCTTTATTTAATGCTTAATTGTTTATGTGTGCGTGGATGGTAATTCATAGGGTTAAAGAATATCAAGATATTCGTAATATGGGCAGGTTGGTGATGTGTATGCCTTAACTAGGGTGTATAAATTTAGCTAATCTGGCTTTATGTGGTATAGCCTTTTTTTGGCTGGAATTTACTCCAAAGAATTGATTTTTAGGAATTTGCATTTAAAGCGAAATTAATATTTTAGATTTTTTTTTATATTTTTTAAAGCACTGTGGCTTAACAGTATGTTATACATTACGATTAATTTATTACAGATTAAGATGTTCTCTAATATAAGGTCTATAAATATTTGTTAGGGAAAGCATAGGATAATATTAGGGGGCATAATAATATTAAGGATTGGGGCGATAAGAGGGGGAAGGTGTGTTTTAGCTTGAGTAGTATTTCCAGAACCTTGATATGATTTGTTTGAGGCCATTTATATGATTTTTGGCTTTCTTAGTGAGAGAGAGTTGGGACTCTTTTAGGTATGTAATTACAAAGTAAGGGCAAGAAACGAGACTTAATCAGTTGGATTTTTATTCTTTTATTTGTGTTTAGTGGGGTCTTATATTGATTGTATGACAATTTTGTCGACCATTTGGGGTGTCCTCCTGGGACTAGAAAGGAGTGACACTTTTTCCAATGTCGGGGGATAAAGGTTGGTCAGTAATATTTGGCGGTGAGGGAGGTTTGATAGATTAATAAAAGGTTCCTGTTTACCTGCACTGAGGCAGTAGAATACGATTATATAATTTATATAAAGGATTTTTATTATGGGTTGTTTGGACATGTGTTTTTATTTTTTAATTTAGTTTATGTATGAATACAGGGAACAAAACACTCGCAATACATAAGTCCTCAACTTGAGATACACTTTTGAGAAACATTCTGTATTGATGTATTCAATATTGTGTATATAAGTCATTATTGTGGGCATAAACAATATTGTGGCATACTGTCATTACTCTGTATAGTGTAATTATTATACACAATACAGAAAGTCCCCAACACACCATAAATCAAAGACTTCGTGAATATGAACTGTACTCAATTCAGGTCCTCCCAATGCACCATAAGTTGAAACTTCCTGTACATGACCAGGATCAATACACAACATAAACCACTCATTTGAGAGTGAAATTATTAATATAATCAAACTAGCACTAGACCCACAAGGTGCATACAGTGCTGCTTATAGGGGAACATCCGAATGCCGAATGTCAGGTCCGACTGGACTGTGTACAAGTTCCACCGAAGCTGCCAAGAAAGATCATCTCTCTCCTACGTGATGCATATTTGAGTAAGAATATACCGGACTGGAAACCATAGGAGGTACCGAGAAGAGTTGAATACATAAACACTGGTCAAGTATTAGCCTTTCAAATAATTTAATTCTTTTATAACAGCCCCCGCAGAGGCAGACGCAACGGTCTGAAGTTTGAGATCTCTCTGACAGCTGTTCAAACCCCACCCTGTATGGATTATCTTATAAAGCTCCTTTATATACAGTCAGTTCTCTTATAAGGAAACCCTGTATCAACATCTGTGGCCACAGATTACTCAACATCTTACCATATCAGAAACACTGCTGGAACAAGTGTACAAATCTTCAAAAGGAAACTGGACAAGTATCTTCACCTGGTGCCAGATCAACCAGGTTGTGATGGATATGTGGGGCAGCAGGCCTCCAGCAGCAACAGCCTGGTTGACCTGGCTAGCACCAGACCAGCCTGACCCATGGCCGGGCCCTAGGAGTAGTAAGACTCAAAACTCCTCAAAGGTAAAGACGTTGGTTTTTAAACCTATCAGTAAACCAGCGGTAGCTATGGGGCTTACTGTATTTTGCAGCATATAAAGCACACCATCATATAAGACAACATTGCCAAGTAGTGCTAACATAACGTTAGTAAACGACTGCTAAAGAGTAACACAAAGCTTGCCCTCAACCCTGAATTTTTGAGAGGAAAAAAGCACGCCTTCTGTGCTGGAAAGTATGGTAGATACCGTATGACATTAATGTGCATCAACCTGAGGTAAGTCCTCTGTGAATCTAGAGTTGTGCAATCTGTTGTACGTCGCTCTGGCTATCCTTGGCACTGATCCAGTCTAGTAGGCTCAAGTGCGGCTTCCTCTCCAAGGCCTCACCATCTGAGAAAAGAAAATTAGATATAGCATTTACAGATAGTTCTCCACGGGGAAGTGGAACAGAATTTTTCCCCAGTAAGCCATGCGTGTTATAAGAGGCGACTAAAATGCTGGGAGTAAGGGGCTAGTAACCCCTTCTCCTGTATATATAGCCTCTCCTCACTTATTCAACATTAATGGACTGACCACATCGACTCAAGGCTGAGGGACTGATTACCTCATTCTCCTCCTGTTCTTCACGTTTCTCCTTTGTATGGACTGATAAGCCACTGTGTGGCGAACGGTAACACTAAAACGGTCCCAAACAGATCAATGTTCAAATTCAACAACTGTGCTACAAAAGTATATCTACTTTTTTTTACAACTTTTTCAAATATAACAGAAAATGTAGATAAAGTTTTTTACACTTGATCAAATGTAAAACAAAAAAAGAAGATATCTACATTGGTTTACATACTTCAGATTTGAAAAAATTATATAAACGTTTGGACTGTTTTAAGGAATAAGGGTGATGTTAGTCCATTCACTATGCCAGTGTCATAAACAAAATCGTCCACTAAGTGAGGAGCAATACTATTATGGGTAGTGTGTATGTGTTCAACCATCTTGATATTGTTTCAATTGTCACTTTTTGCACCATTTAGTTTCATGAATATTTTTTAAATGTATATACAGTAGTTTCCTGTATCTGAAAATAAACGAAAGAGAGATAGAGGAACTCACTCAAATATACATTATTTAGGTAAGCATACTGGTCAAAGAGCCCGTCGAGTCTGATCGCGTGGTAAAATGAGTACAGTCACTAAGTGATAAGAAGTTGTACATGTATTATTAAATTTAAAAGGTAGGAAACTTTCCCATTTCCTTCTTGTTGGGCCCACCGAGCCTCGGATGGATACGCCGGTTTGTTTGAAAGAATAAAATTTACAAATAGTACAGTAGCTGCCATTGTAGAACTCCCTACTACCACTGGAGAAACGACTTGCATCATCAATCACTCCAATCATCTGTCTTGCCAGAGGTGTGTTCGATAACACAGTTCAACAACTGCAACATAGCTCCACAGGACCTCATTCAGAGTGTAGGCGCAACTGTACTTCCCACACCTCCAGGACTCAAGTCCAGCCAACTAGTTTTCCTGAATCCCCTCATAAACCTTACTTAATCCGCGATTACATTTAAAAATGGGCAGCCTACAAGTGCTTTAACACGTAATATTTACATACAGCCTATACCTAAGGCCTAAGAATTCTGCAGAAACGTATCGTGACTATACAGGAGAGAGAGACGTTGCTTACCTCGGCCATCCTCGGCCGTTTCATCTATTTCTTCGACCTTGCCCACCTCTGGGGTGCTCCTCTTACCCAGGAGGGCAGAAAGAACAGGTATTTTTGCCAATAGTTTGAGATCCTCATCGAAACTGCAAGAAAGAACTTGAATTAGTGTTAATCACTAAAGACGACTGTGGAATTGTGATACAAAAATATAACCAATTGTTGTTATTATTATTATTATTATTATTATTATTATAATCATGGGGGAAGCACTAAACCCATAGGATTATACAGCACCTGTGGGGGGAGGGGATGTGGAAGGTATTCAGGCTTAATTCAGGGAACTGGAACACAGATCCAATTCCCTAGATCAAGAGCCCTTCACCAGCATCAAGGAACCTCCCTTGAGGGGAAATGTAACCAAAATAATAGTTTATATATAGAGTGCTGTCACTGTTTGATCTTTGTTTCACTCCATGTTTTGTATGTGATTATATCCTTGCCATCCTCTAGGCCCCCACCACACACACACACACACACACCCACACACACACACACACACACGTAAAGCTCATGGACAGGAAAGTGGTACCTATAATAACCATGCAAGAGGCGGGGCCCCCCGGGCCCAGAGAAGCTATAACTCAACTCCTGCATCCACATTTAGGTGAGCAATAAGTCGAGTCAGAGGACTCACATTTCCAAGATCATAAACTTTCTCTCGTCAGTCCGGTCAAATAACATTAAAGCTTTGCTCGAAGCTCTCAAACTAGCTCCTGAGTCATGCCACAATGTCATCAAGATTGCCAGCCGACATCGCCCACCCTGAAATAAATATAAAATAATAATAATATAATAACGAATAATTTATAGATAAAGCATATAAGAAGTTGGGGTTTGAATCCTAAAACTCACTATGCCATGGGTACATTCCCATCTGTTCTGAGGTTTGTTACATCACATTTCGGAACCCGTAATTTTTTACATGATGGTATGGATTGTCTGGTGTCTTTTTTTCTGTCTCATAAACATGGCAATTTCAGGTATCGTCCTTGCTACATCTACCCTTTTACTCATAGGTCACACACACATACATTTTTTTTTTTTATAATAAGTCGGACCGTCGACCCACCGAGCAGAGGATGACCCAAAAAGAAAAGAGAAATTCCCCAAAAGAAAATACTTTCAAATCATCATTCACACTAATCAACTCACTCACACATAATCACTCACATTTTTGTAAATAGATGTGCTCTATGAACACAACTGTTTAGAAGCATAAACAGTGGACTCACCCGGATTAAAAACGATATTTTTTTACTCCAGAAGTATGTTCATGTGCCAGTACTGACCGAATTTGTTCCCATAAGGAATATTGTGAAGTAGATTAGTCCATTTCAGACCCCCAAACATACATGTACAAACGCACTTACATAATTGGTGGCATTCGGAGGTAATCGTTATGCGGGGGTCCACTGTACATATAAAGATACACAGCATATCCCTCCAAACTGCTAACATCCCGACCCCTCCTTTAGAGTGGCAGGCATTTGTACTTATTCCATTTCCAGGATACAAGTCCGGCTATATAAAAATAACATGCATGTACATGCATATATATACACACTCCTCTGGGTTTTCTGCTTTTTTCTTACTAGTTCTTGTTCTTGTTTATTTCCTCTTAACTCCATGGGGAAGTGGAACAGAATTCTTCCTCCGTAAGCCATGCATGTGTTAAGTACACCAACCTAAAATGCCAGAAGCAAGAGGCTAGTAAACACCCCTTCTCCTGTATAAATTACTAAATTTAAAAAGAGAAACTTTCGTTTTTCTTTCTGGGTCACCCCGCCTCGGTGGGATACGGCCAGTTTGTTAAAAAAAAAATACATACATATATGCATATATTTAATCAGACTTCTTTAACTAAATAAGTCTTAATTTTTGTGAAGGATTCAAATTTCCTGAAAAAAAATGCCTGAAAAAATTTAACAAAGTTGAAAATATTGTGAAAAATCGATATTTTTTGTGTAAAATGTTAAGATTTTGGTTAAGTGTCCATCTTGAAAACCCATTGTATAATAATGTTTATATGCACACACACACACACACACACACACACACACACACACACACACACACACACACACACACACACACAGTGGCTAATACTCGACCCCTGCAACCACAAATAGTGACTACACACACACACACACCACCACACACACACACACACACACACACACAAACACACACACACACACACACACACAGCGACATCACACACCACACATACATTCACAATGGTACACTCATACAAACCCTTCTGGTGACAAATGGTGTGCAACCATGTGTGCCCCCACCTTGCCTGCTGTAGATTTTGATCGTGCACCAGCAGCTGACAGGTCTCGTGTCTTGTCCCTGGAGTGGCTCGTGGAACTGCTGCGCCAGCTGTGCCCCCGCGCCACCACTGTGCTGTAGCTAGTCGGGCAATGATAGTTCCCCCCATTCTACTTTGAATCCTGGTACATCACAACAACAACAACAATAATAATAAAAAAATAAATAATAAAAAGAATAATATAAATAATAATAATAATAATAATTAATAATAATATTAGCAACTAAAATACAGGGGAGCAAGGGGGCTGAATAACCCTGTTCTTTCTCTGCATTAAATCACTAAATTTGAGAAAAAGTTAATAATAATAATAATAATACAAATGTTCCTCACTTTACGATGGTTCGACTTACAATATTTCGACTTTACAATGGTGCGATAACAATGCCCTCCAGTAGTTGTCAAACTTGATTTAAAAATATTTTAAAACAAAAAATATAAATCTGTATCCCAGGAAATATATTCACTACATATACTGTACACAAGGCAGGTCCTACTGATACTAGGGTTCTACTGAACATAAGAACACTACAGCAGGCCTACTGGCCCACACTAGGCAGGTTCTACTGATACTGGGGTTCTACTGAACATAAGAACACTACAGTAGGCCTACTGCCCCACATCTTGGCAGTTCTACTGAGTACTAAGGGTTCTACTGAACATAAAACACACAGCAGCAACAGCAGGCCAAGCGGGCCCACACTAGTCAGGGGTTCTACTGATACTGGGGTTCTACAGTAACAAAAGAACACTACAGTAGGCCTACTGGCCCACACTTGGCAGGTCCTACTCAAACTTAAACCCATCAACAAAAATATTTGTCAAAAGCATTGTCTTTCCACATTAATATTATATATATATATATTATATATATATATATAAAAGTATATATATATATATATATATATATATAAATATAGTACTAGTATAAACACTAGCGAATGAATAAATAAAGAAAATTATATGTCCGAAAAACGTTTCATGGGATTTAAATAATATGTGTTATACTTGCAAGGTTTTCAGGTACTCTTGCTACATCTACTTACACTTACGTTCACACTACACAATACAATTACAAGCCTACATATACACACCCCTCTGGGTTTTCTTCTATTTTCTTACTAGATTTTGTTCTTGTTTATTTCTGCTTACCTCCATGGGGAAGTGGAACACCTATATGAAAAACAGTACAGAATGGGTCACATAACCAGAGACCAAACAAAACGTTACTCGTCAATCCTAATACCTCACAGCCTGAATAAGAAAGGGCAAAAAAATTGTATTATGAGAACAGATTATCCAACTTACGAGGTGATATAGAAAAGACCTGGAAAACCCTATCAGAAATTCTGGGAACAAAAAAGATATCACGAAACAGCGAAATAAAATTAGCAAAATTCCGATGAACCCAACTCCCACCAAACAGAACCAGCAAACAGACTACAATTGACTTCTTTCTCCACTATATGGACAAAACCTTGCCAATAATTTTCCCAAGCTCAGATAACCTCCACCAAATGACTACCTCACCGCAACTACCCGAACACACTGTTACCTATCTCCGACGTAACCCCTCATACGAAGTCTGCCCTTCTTATCAACCAACTAAAAACAAGGCAGGAGATTTAAATACCTTACCTACTCCTTTATATACAAAAAAGCTTCACAAGTACTATCACCAATCATTGCAACACTCTTTAACAAATCCATTGAATCCTCCACCTTCCCTCCATACTCAAAATAGCAAGAGTCACCTCACCCCGATCCACAATAGGAGAACCAAACAGAGTTAATAAACTATAGGCCAATATCCAATTTTACACCACCCTCTCTCAAAAATCTTCGAAAAATTAATTCATAAACGAATCTAACTCCTACCTTATCTCCCAAAACATACTCAACCCCTGCCAATTTGATCAGCCTAATAAAAATACTAAGATGCGTATATATAGCAGCATGCTAAACATATATACACAGCCAAATAAGAAAAAAGAATCCCACTGGGGATCTTCATTGACTTACTAAAGCTTTTGATACAGTTACTGACTATGCTCTCCATGTAAATTTGACACACTAATGGTATAAGAGGGCACACCCTCAATACCTCCAATTCATACCGTCAGCAACAGAATGCCATATGTGTACGCAAATGGGGCAAGCTCTTCCGCACAACCAATTAGAGGTTGGTGTCCCCACATGGAAGTGTCCTTGGCCCTCTTCTCTTACCTCCTATACATAAATGAACCTACCAAATGCTCGCAATTACTCAAACTCGTGCCACACTATTTGCAGATGACACTACATACGTCTTCTCCCACCCGAGCCCAGTCAATCTAGCCAATACTGTAAACAACCGAATTACAGAAAAATCTACCTGGATGAGGACTAACAAACTTACACTAAACATTCGACAAAACGCTACTTCAATCAGTTTCTTGGTAACAGAGCTACAGATGTCCACTCATTTAACATAATGATAAACTGATCACCTATCACAAAGCTAACAGAGGGAAAATTTCTTAGAATCCACCTTGAATAGACTCAAAATTTTACATACACAATACAACAATTTTCTAAGAAAATTTCCAAGACTGAAGGCACACTATCGAAGAAACGGTATTCTATGTCCACAGTCAGCCCTCCTGGCCTATATCACTCTCTTATTTACCCCTATCTCACCTATGAAATTTGTGCATGTGGCTCAACAACAATTAACCAAAAAAATCCCTCAGACCACTAATTACCCAACAAAAGGCTGCAGTTAGAATGATAAACAAATTCTCACTACAGGCCGCACACGCCCCCAATATTCAATACACTAAACCTACTCACCATACAAAACACATACTTATTAACTGCACCTATTACATACATAGAACACTTAACTCTGATATTTACCCCCCCTCAAACATCACCTTGCCAACCTCAACAGAACACATGACCATAACACAAGGCAAAGAACACTCTTTTCGATGTTCCTCGTTCCATCTCACGCTATGCAAAAGACTCAATTCCATAAAAGGAAAGGCCCTAAAATCTGGAATTCATTTACCTGTAAAGTATAAAAGAAACACTACCTGTTTATAAATTCAAGTCTTCTCTCAAAGATCACTTATCTCACCCAGCAAACCAAATAAAACTGAATAACTGAACCTTATAAATTGATATATCTTAAATAGTTTCTCCAAATATATCACATAAATGTTAAAAACCAAAACCCAATCTAACTTTTAATATTTTTTAAATACACTACCTAACAGAATACTCCATAACGACTGAATGTACAACATGCAACAACCATATGACCGTCTTGTAATACTCATTTTCTGCTTTATAGTTAATCTGGTTTACATTAAGTTTTATCACGTTGATTCATCATTGCATTAGTTTAATCTTAAGTTAATTTTAAGCCAGCCCGTATAGGCTATGTATATAAGTGGCTTTGGCATGCTGCTCGTTATTCTGTAGTTTTTTTTTGTACCTCTGATATGTTCCAAATTGTAAATAAATAAATAAATAAAAAAATAAATAAATGAAATAAATTTCGCTTCCTCACATAAGCCATGCGTGGGTTGTAAAGGCGACTAAAATGCCGGAGCAAGGGCAGTAACCTCTTCTCCCTGTATATAATACTAAATTAAAAGGATGAAACTTTAATTTTTTCTTTTGGGCCGCCCCACCTCGGTGGGATACGGCCGGTGTGTTGAAAGAAAAGTGTATGTTACTGAGAACAAGTAATATATATATCTCTCTCTTCAAAGAACATAATCTCAAACAAAAAAATCTTAATGTAAACAAAGGAACTAATTATAAATAAAACTCCTAAATCATTATTCAATAAACAAAAATATTTCCTTCTTCATTAAATAAATATTAACTCACACACCAACATTCTTGATGGTCCTTTTTGTTTTTACCATTGGGTTAGCCCTTTCACCTAGGCCTTGTTTTCGCAGGTCTTTTTATTCAATTCTGCCTTTCTTGAGGGCAGTTATTTTGTAAATACATTTTCGGTTACTGGCATACCTCGGATGGCAGTTAACCTGTAGCCATGTCAACGTCATCAATTGTTTCTACTCTTGATATTTTCCTCTTTTTTTGCTCTTCTTTGCTTGCCATTTAACCCTGGTCTGGTCCTGAGTTCAGTTTTCTCCGATGCATGTTTGGTCTGCGACGTCTGGTATGTTTGTTTTTTTTGGGCTTTACTTACCATACTATCTTCAGTGTACGCCGGTAGGGTCTCTCCTCCAGAGTTGACTGGTGCGATCAGTCGCCCATGGCACTCATTGTACTTGACATGAGGACACACAACACAGTCATTGTGAAGGAGTAGAGGAAACACTCATGCAGCGAGATGTCACCTCCAGAAGAAGTGTTTTAAGAGTTTGGATTTTTTTTATCCATGTAACAATCATTAAGCGGTGATGATGCGACCAATGACATGCAGCCACCTTGGATCCAACTGAAAAGGTCACTGTACGGTACGCTGTCTCTTGTACATGGGGTGTTGCTCGTCATATCGGCCAAACATCAACTACAGTCGAGATGGAGAACCAATAGAAACACCGTTGTCTTGCGAACATCGGTAGCTTGGTCAACCCTCTCTTCTTGACGATCGTCTCTCTCCTTTTCTAAATCATGAACCCAGGATCGAAAAGCTGATAAAGACAGACCCACTATTCCAGAATGATTCCCATTGCTAGCATCCACAAGGCAGAGATCAGTTTTCAGTGCCATTTTTTGCAAAACATTTTGATGATTCTTAAAACTTACTGTTTAATTCTTATTTGCTAATTTGATTATAATTTTGAATTTTCAAACGTTAAGCTAACTATTTCAATAATATATAAAAATAGAAAAATGATGCCCCATTTTAACTAAATATATCACTATTATGAAAAATAGTGGACACTCCGAATTTTCAGTTTTATAATTGAAAAGTTTACATAAAATTTATGATGTTACATAGAAGGAATCAAAGTTTAATATGTCACAGTGAGTTGTATTATAGTGTCTTATGATGGTGAGTGTAGTAAGGTGTGGTGATATGTATCATGTAGTGATGGTGAGTGTAGCAGGTAGTGATGGTTAGTGTAAGCAAAAGTAAT